TATATGGTCATTTTGCTAAGGTTACTGCATTTGCTAAATGTGCTAAACTTGCTAAATTCGTCTTATTTGCTATACTAACTTCGTAGCAGCGATATATTTGAACATTTTGTGAAGATTGCTGTATTTGCTGAAATTTGCTGAACCTGCTAAAATTGTTCGATTTTCTAAATATGCTTGAACTCTAGTATAATGGGAATTAGAAGATCTGCCACATTTGCTGACTTGCTAGAACTGCTAAATTTGCCAAGTTTGCTGTATTTGCTAAATTGACCAACTTTGTTAAATTTGCTAAATTTTCTAGATTGTTTTGCTAAATCTGCTAAAGTTGCTAAATTGGCCAAATTTGTTAGCTTTGCTAAAGTTGCTGAATGTGCTAGGGATCCCAGATTTGCTGGATTTGTAAAATTTTCTAGATTTGCTAATTTTGATAAATTTGGCTAGATTGGCCAACTTGCAAGGTCTGCTAGGTTCGCTAAAGTTGCTGAGTTTACTGGGTTTGCTGAATTTGCTACATTTGCTACATTTGCTAGATTTGCTAAATTTGCTAAATTTGCTAAATTTGCTAAATTTGCTAAATTTGCTAAATTTGCTAAATTTGCTAAATTTGCTAAATTTGCTAAATCTGCTAAATTTGCTAAATTTGCTAAATGTGCTACAATTTGCTAAATCCGCTAAATTTGCTAAGCTACCTACTAAATCCTCTAGTTGGTGTATAATTTGATGTTTTATACCCTGAGTTCAACCAAGCTTGTTTCTTGTCTCTATTTATTGATACTCCCTGGGTAGACTTGTAAGTGGAAATTATTGTGCGCGCGGTATCGTTAAGTCGGAGGCCATATCTACCCCAAACCTGCGCCTGAGCTCATGCGCTGCATTTTGCCCTTACGGGACACACTAATATACTTGACTGCGGCCCTTTAATTTCTACGCTGCCCTTACCTTGTACTTGCTGCAGGTTTAGGTGACTTCAAGGCTGTTGTTGCTATTACCGGTCACTGCTGCGGTTGGCTTTAGGTTTGTGCATTGGTGTTCGGATTTATATTTTTTTGGTAAAAGTTGGTACTGAGGCTCTGAACTGTCTCATCATTGACAGGTTTTTTTTTATATGAATTGTAAATCTGTCGTCAATAAACACATTCGAGGGTGACCCGTATTTTATTTGATATATTCGACCTTTGTGATAACTTAGCCTCAATCTTGATTTGGTGAATTTGAAAGATTGAGTTTGATCAACGAAGGGTATTTGCACGGGGTAAATTCGCCTGGCGCCCATTCAACAACATATTTTCTAGTTATTTTTTTTTTAACTTTCCCTACAACGAACCTCCCCTTCTTCGGCTGTAGCTGGTGCGGATGCCCACTTGTTATTCAACAATAGTGGTCTAGTGACCTTGTGCTTAGCACGATTAGTTAGGTTGCAGTATCAAGGAAAATTGGCACCCCCCAATTATACCATAATTTTGGCTAGCCAATAGACTAATTGAATCAGGTAAATTCCGTGGAAACTATCCTGGCACCATTTGATATTCTCAGAATTGATGGAGGACCCATATGAGCACATATGCAACAATTCCTGCCCATTCATTCAGACTGAACTTTTCATGATAGTGTGTGTGCCTAATTCTTTGAAGATTTTCCAGAGGCCAAAAGTATGAACAATGCGATAATTCACCACAACATCACCAGTTAATTAAGATTCGTCGGTAGGAAGGATCCCAGAAAAAGTATGCCTCGCGCATTTTCGGGATATCCACCTCACTTACTGCAAGTGTCGCATAAAATCTTGTGAAAGCAATCCTCGAACTCGTTGTACGTGATATGGATATAAGTTGATTCCGTGCAATACCTTCCAAACAGTTGATTCAAAAACACCCAAATATTCAGATATTCATCTCTATGAGATTTCAAGTCAGATATTGTGAATTCACCCTCTTTCGCCAATTACGAATTTCTGACAAACGGTAAGTTGTTTCAAAAAATGAAGCACGAAATCAGATGTGAGGTAATTTCCATGAATTATGAGAATTTGAGTCAAGGTTTCCCTTTTCAAACATGAAATGTGGACTGGGAGAAGCGTCGACCATCTTGAGCATATAAATACATGTGGTGTCTGAAGAATGAAGGCATGCCCATTGTTGAAGATTTGATCTGTTATTTATTGTCACAATATCTGATAATCGTTTCATTCTGAGTAATTCTCAGTGGTTGTAGCACGAGGAGGGTGCATTCCAGGACGAATGATGATTTGAAAGAAGTATTATTTTATCCCAATCTCACGTCCTCGAAATAAAGGGTATTACAAATTCGTGGCTAAGCATAGGGATCTCGGTAACCTTGGGTACAGAGTAGGTTGAATCAGGGCAGAGTTGCACCATAACATGCTCATGAAAATTTTGCTTTGATATCGGAAAACTTCCAGTTGTTCCCGAAGATATCCAGAAAAAAAGGGGGAGAAAAATGCAAAATCTTCCTGGACCTGGATTTTTCACTCAATTCTTTGATATTGATAGATTTGCTTGATACAATGGTGTACCTTAACAATTCATGAAATGTTAACTTCAGTGCAAAACATTTTTTGATATGGTATGGGGATATTTATATTTGTCTGACACAGTGTTATTGTATCAATTTGTCTTTGTTTAACACATTATTCAGTGCGAAGTACCTCCTACATAATTGAATTGTTCTCATTCGAAATGTATTATTAGCAATACCAAACCAAAAATAAAAATGAAACAATTGTTTATCATTTGATGAAAAAATATTCATGAATGATGGAAGCACAATTTATGAAACAAATGATATCCAATATGAGAAACAATTCGAACATTAGGTTTTTTCTCATAGCAAATGCTCAAAAATATTTTCTTTTGCGTTTAAGTATTTATTTGCTTTTCCAAAACCGCCACTTGATTTTTTCTCTGGGGCGCCATAAGAACAACTGTTGCATGGTCTATAAGATAAGTTTGAGAATGCAAATGAATGCTTGAACACAAACGGAAATATTGTTGAGCATTCACTATGAAAGAAAACTGATTGTTTCATTATCAATATTCATTCAACAATGAAAAATATGATTTATTAGCTCTTTTGAATTCGATATATATATTTATATGTTCTTGGAAATATTAGTGGGATGCAGTCTGGACCAATGAATCAATCAAATTTCTTCGTTATTTGTCGTCGAGCTTTCGAAAATTTTTATTTTCTTTATCAAGACTAACTGAAAACTTCGAATGGAACAATAATATCAAAATATGAATGTACTTTATTGTATTTTTTGCATATTGATATTTCCTTAAATTATAAATAATTGCTCAATTGTTGTTTTTGGTTTCGTTAAACTGATAATGCATTCAGAATAAGAGCAATCCAATTATGTAGAACGTTTTTGACACTGAACAAGGTGTTGAACAAAGACAACTAAATACCAAAAAAGCTGTGTTTTACAAAGATGAGTACCTCCGACACCATTTATAAATTCTTTTCTCATCGTAGTAGCCCCTTTCAGTAATGTTGTGATACACCGTCATTTCATCATCATTCATCCTGTTCCGATTCAGAATGATGTTGATGATTGCCGCTCGAAGAAGAAACGTCGGATTTTCAATTTGACAATTCCATTTTGTAGTGGAGGAAAAGTGGCAAAGATCTGATATTCATTTTGGAATATCTCTTCAAATAAACTGAGTATAATGAATAAAAACGATTTTGTATATTTTCCTTTTTTTTACAGATATCTCCGAAAATAATTAAAAATTTTCCAATTTCAAAGCAGCATTATGTTGCGCATGGAATGGTGCAACTTCACCTCAATTCAACCTACTCTGGTTTAAGGTTACCGAGATCCCCATGCTCTGCCACGAATTTGTAATACCCTGTATATTTTCATCAAATTGTTCATTCTTCTATATTGGTTGGAAAAATAATGAGAGCATCTCTCCGAATTCAGAGTTCCATCTGAGAAGAAAATAATTTGTCACTTCCATAAACCTATAACCTAAATACGATCAACAATAAGCTCTGCAACGAAATTCAGATCTATTGGGTTACCAAAATACCAAATATAATATGGCAGACATAGCAGTGCTTCACGAAATAGAGCATAACATGATACTGACAGAATAGCGAGCCACAAAATAGCGCCTTACATAATAGCTTTGACACATAACAGGACCATTCGAAATAGCTCCAATGGGACCATTCATCGACCACCTTCTTGGTCTATTAGTACAAACTGAAAGATATCATAGGTGAGTGGTGTATGTATATATTTGTTTCAGGATTTTGTTACGCGCTCTTTCGTTATAGAGCTCTCGACTTCGTTCCAAATTTCGATATTATAATAATATTATAGTAAGGTGGAACTATATCAAAAATATGAAGAACTCAGTTGCCTTCCTGAAGATTTATGGAAAGGTAGTCTTGAAGAATAGTCAAACAACGTTTCTGAATTTTCCCCCCGATTTTAATGATGCTTCTTTCATACCATTTCAGTTTAATATAATCTGCCTATACCAAGTGGCGTTTGAATGAGAATGATACTGTATGGATTGACTCAGAATATAACATATGAAGATAGGGTCACGATATTTTATTAATTTCAGACTAACATCATCTATCTCCAATATATTTCTTCGTGTTTCATTCCATCCGTTCTATAGTTTTGAAGGATATATACTCATTCTGATTATGAATATAGCATGAAATATTCTTGTTGGAATAATTTATTATTTCTGCACCAAATAGCAAAAAGTAGCAGCAAGAATGTGGATATTGACACCCGAGACCATAATTTTCCCACTAATTATCAGATGAACATACTGATTTGATCAGCATGATTATACAAATGGAAAGCACATATTCTCTACATGTTGGCGCTACAAGAACTTCTTCGAGGAGTCCGAATGGATTTCGGCAAGGTGAGTGAAAATCTGTCACCAAATTCTGTTCATCGAATGACATTTTGATGATGCTAATGATTTATTTCGTAATCTCACCTTTTTATTGTGACATTTCGATAATCCGATGGAAGCAGGTGTTGCTCGAGATTCCATGAATCTCACATTTTGTGCGGTGAGTGATTCACTCTCCAGGGTCATGGTTGCTTCCAAAAATGTATCGTCATCATCTAGGCAGAACGTTTCGCAAGCGACCTGAAATATTTTCGAATTACTCTCAAACCTCTTTGGACCATTTATTTCATAATTCCAAAATATATCTCGAACAATAATCGAATCATTTTCAAATGGAATGCTTATAGGACATTTTCATCGACGTTGTAATCTTCTCGAGTGAAGATATCACCTAATTGAAACTATAACACCTATTACTGAATAGACACACCAAGAAAAATATCTATCAGCTGTTATACGAAATTGTATAACCATTGAAAGATTCCTGAATTGAATAGGCGCCAGCATGGTTCCCATTTCACTGTAATCACGTTCATCATTCCAAAAAAATTATATAACTGTGAAATATCACTTATATGAGAATGAAATGACACTCATATAGGGGTCAAATGACTAGCATTTCAATGCTATACGATGATATTATAAAAATGAGAAGATACTCATATAAATTTGACTTGTTTTCAATATGATAGTCAAATAAAAAGCATTTTAATATTGAATAGTGATATTATAAAAATGAAATAATACTCATATCAATATAATTTGCTTTCAATTTCATAGTCAAATGATTGCATGATATTTCAGTATTAGGATGATTAATTTTTCTCCAGAAAAATGAAGTGGGTTGAAACTCTTCGAGAAATATTGAAGACATATACAGTGAGGACGTAAAAAGTCCTCCCCCCCCCTTAACTTTTGAACGGAACAAGCTATCGAGGTCGGGTAAAATTCAGGTAAAAAGGTACTACTTTTACTACTTTTTGGCATAAAAATGATTGTGGTCACGTGGCCTAGTGTCAAGAGGGTACCATCAACTTTTTTTTTTCAAATGTAAAAGGGGGTCACGTGGCACCTGGTTTCAAAGGTCTTTCGATTCTCTATCCAACACCGCTGTGTTTGTGAAAATCGACCAAGCCGTTTCAAACTGACAAGCTATTGAAATTTGCTTCAAAAATTTCACAAAAAGTTATTTCAACTATTAATTGCAGCAGAATTTCAACTCCGTCACTGATTATGGTCGAAGAGTCAATTTTTTGTGGTGAGACAGGTGCGCATATTATTGGTATTTTAAAATGTGGTTTTTGTTCCAATTTTTTTTACCTTATTTATTTTGCTGGAGACTCCAAATATCATTTCATTTCAATGCCAGTCTAATATTGACGTTAATCATATCGATACTTTTGACAGTTCTCATAGGTTCAAGCTTGTTTTTATAATTTTCAAATGCCTCGTCAGTTTGAAACGGCTTGGTCGATTTTCGCAAACACAGCGGTGGTGGATAGAGAATCGGAAGGCCTTCAAAACCAGGTGCCACGTGACCCCCTTTTACATTTGAAAAAAAAAAAGTTGATGGTACCCTCTTGACACTAGGCCACGTGACCACAATCATTTTTATGCCAAAAAGTAGTAAAAGTAGTACCTTTTTACCTGAATTTTACCCGACCTCGATAGCTTCTTCCGTTCAAAAGATAAGGGGGGGGAGGACTTTTATCGTCCTCACTGTATACTTGGTTTATATTCTTACCCTCAAGTAAAGTTTTTTGAGGAACTACAGGGCATTGAAGTGCATCACAAGGACGATATACTCAGTTTACAATATCTCAGATTGTGTAGGACAAAAATGCTTCCAATTTGGACTATTTGTTCCCATTGTCAGTGCATTGGATTATTAGTTAACATAGTGGCCAAAAATGTAATTACACAGTATCGTCAGTGAATTAGAGTTTACATTCGCAGATTTCGTTTCATTTTATTTACCGTTATTGCCACTTGAGCTCAACAAAAGAGCGTTGAGAGACTTTTCTTACGACGTTTTCGAGATCCCCATGATAGTAATCATTAATCTTGGACATAATGTATACGCAATACAATCTATCCCCGATGAAACTGTTCAAATCCAAGCGTCTGCCACTCAGTGAATAGTGAGGTGAGTTGAAAAAAATCAAGTTTTTCCAATTTGGAAGACATTTCGATACATACACTTACCGATATATCGTGGAAACACTATAACGCCCAGAGGCAGTTCAACATTCTGTAGTTCCTCAGCGAATCTTGGAGAATATATAAACAAATATGTCCCTAATATTTCTAGAAGATCTCTCAACCACTTCACTTTTCCGAAAAAAAAAATATCACTCTGCAAGAAGAGTTCACGAGCTGCCGCGAGCTAATATGTCCTTTCATATCAGGAATCCCGAGACGACTAACGATTCTCATCGAACAAGTGTTTATAGGTGAGTGAGATGACTCATTGAGGTAAACGAGTATGACAAAGATGGAAAATGATAGAAGGGATGAAAATCAATGATAATTGTATAACTGTGAAATGACATATTTCAGGATTTAAATGATCATCTTCAAATTTCCATCTTTTAACTATAATCTTGTCTCATTTCGAATCTTAAAGATAACTTTTTCGAAACAAAAAGAGTGATTTCAAAGAGTGATTTGAAAGAGTGATTTGAAAGAGTGATTTGAAAGAGTGATTTGAAAGGGTGACCTGTTCACTTTTCACGTTCATCAGATGACATTTCGTGGTTAAAATGTTTCATTTGGCGGTTATGAGAAGTTTTTAAATAGAGACATGTATAACTGGACTTTTCTCGGTGCACATATCAATATAGGGAAAATTCAATCACCATAATGCACAAATCAATCCAATCAATGAGGAGTGTTGGGTAAATGAGAATCTACTCCATTTACCGTACACCTGGAAAACTGGCTGATATATTGATCAAGAAAGGACTAATTTCTACATCAATAAGCTCCATGCGTACACAGATATTACTCGAGTATTACTACACCTAGATGCATGTGTCAAAATCGTGTATAAAAATGTAGTCGGTGTATTGATGAAGTAATATAGAAATCGATTTATTGAATATTGATGTATCAAGAAAAATCGAATACTGCTGGTAGCAAGCAACAGCAGACAGCGTTTCGAGTCCTCTCAGCGTCAACATTTTGTATTTTTTTCACCGCTTGGTGCGCACGAAAGAAAAGTAAAGAATGCAATTAGGTCCGAGTGATTGACATCAGAAATCTCTATTCAACTGATTCTCTTACCTTTTCAACATCCTTGTAGTCCAATTGAACAATAGTCCCAAGTAGGAATACTTTTATTGAAATTTTCAACCGGTTCATCATGTATAATGTGAGAAACATCATTGCATGCATTGAGAATATCATTCTGACATCAAAAATATTCAGAACATTCCGAATATAACTATATTTTGTCGAAGATCACAATTTTTACAGACCCTATTCATTTATATTATTGTTGTTGTTGATAATCAAAAATGAGAATTGGTCAATGGATTTATGTCCAAACTGTGAAACTTGATCAGGAAATTTGAGATATTCGTACTATAACGGAATACATGATCGAAAATCTGTCAACTGATGTATTACTGAAACTGGATTTTTTTAGTTTATAGTGCTCACCACGAATTCTTCAAAATTCAAAAAGCAATGGATATGAAGTCGAAACGTGGATTGATTTATATGTTCTATATCAAGGGTGATACTTCAGAAAATTCCATTAATTAGGCAAGGACTTCGTCGAACGAGTTCATTCAAATAATACCCCATTATATTTACTTCAAACTGAAGAATGAACCCATTTAATTGATATTATATATTTGCTCGTAGAAGTAGAAGTATGGAAACTGTCCATACTATGTTTGGTAGATTTCGAAATGAACAGAGAATATTGTTAATGGTGATGACTACCAAATCCATTTCATTATTATTCAAATATGAAGAATAAAGCACATCTCTCAATGAGGTTATGACAATTTTTGTCAGAATTTAATGAATCACACTATGGCTAACCATACCATGATGGAATTGATCGTTTGACTTATGACATTCTCCTAATTCTCAATTTTTTTTAAGGAGATATTCTTGCACGCAAAAATGTTTCTGCTGATGTTGTTACTTTCAATCATAATTATACTCTTTCAATCTTCAGGAGCATAGCAACACCTAAGAATTACACCAAGAAGGAAAGGTATTCGCTTGATCTGATTATGTAATTCCTCGAACTTCTTGGCGGGTGAAAACACTTGCAAGGAGACTAGACGAGCTGTGAACTTACTTGAAAAATCTGTGGTGCCCATTTCCTGAACGCTTGATCTAGACCACACATTTCATCTCCTGTTGCTAATTTCGAGAGTCTTTCACCTCCCAACTCTCCCAGTAGATTGTCTACGTATTTTCCGAAAGCACAAAAGTTTGGATAGGCACTCGATCCGAGGGCGAAAACAGCAAATCTACATCACAGGGAAATAACATATTATTATGGATAATTAAATTACTGAAATTGTGGGAGTATTTGAGGATTGACGTGCAATTGCCATGTATAAATAATATAAACATGCAAACATGCTGTTTCTCCACTCAATTATCTATACATTTATCAATTCTATCATCATTCACACATTCTTATTTATTTGATCACATGAATTGATTAAACAAAAGTGAGGTGAAAATAATAAAACACAAGTTGATATTTACAAGAAAATACATCACAACATACACCTGCGAGAGAATTATTTTGTTCCACGATTGTCGTACGATACGATGATGAACACGAAATTTAATTTCTTTTTTCATTTCATTTCTTGATTATGTCGCGATCGAATAGACTTCGGGAATCGTCGTTTTTTTTGCGGAATGAGATGAGATTTTGATCCAATGAAACAAGCACCAAGGCCAAAGCCATCACGAAGTGGTTCAGTTATCAGTTAACTCCAAAGTGATGGCGATAGCCATCAACATTGAGCTCATCTAATATCCGGATAGCTCAGGAATGGCTCTGGAACGAAACAGCGATGGTCAAAAAAGCGACGGACAAAATAGCGAGGCCAAAACAGCGACAAGACAAAATAGCGATAGACAAAAAAGCGACAGACAAATCAGCGACCGGACAAAATAGCCACAGACAACACAGCTACAGACAATCCAGTTCCCAGAAGTTCTGATACAATAACATTCATAATTTTATTAACACATTTATTTGATCTAGATAGTTCATAAATTCAAATTGAGTGCGATATTTTCCAAATATTCCTTAATTAGCATATTATCAAGAAAACGTAATCTTTTATTTCTTTTAGGACGTATTTGGAACTATGACTCTTGAATTGCCTGAAGCCGCTTTTGTATCGCGATACGAATATTTCGGAGCAATTCGGTTCTTTTTTGATGAATTCTTTGAATTCGTGAATAGACGGATGGTGGCTGTCGATAGATTTCTGGATTGCGTTATGCCATGCTTCTAGGGAATTATTGGTCCTTGGAAGTTTTTTCTTCACACGTTCATACATATTCCATGATTGTATTGAAAAACGAGGATTATTTTCGAGTAGTCGTCGTCCTACATAATTCTGGGCAATGGTTTCGAAACCGATTTGAACATTTTTTGGAGGTACAAAACTTAGCGCCAAGAGCTCCTTCAGCAATATTCATTCATGCATTCATAGAGGCCATTTCAAAATCTGACAAAATTGTCTCAGGATTCAGTTCCGTTATTATTCTATACGATTGCTCATTTTTGTTCCTGGAGAGACAATATTCAAAAGGTACAGCTATTTCATCAATTAGGACATGTATAGTATACATCTGAAAAAATATAGTAGGTGCCACCTTGAATGTACTTTCAACACACCAATGTTTGAACTCATTCATCAATGACAAATTACTGAGGGTTCCAAACAAATGAATATCCGGTCAGAATCATCTTGTTCAGAGTCCCATTATCTCTTCTGCGATGGTTATATCTCCCACATCTGTCCCATTTACGTGCAAACTAAGCGCTTTTTCATTCTGTCGTTGTTTCCCAAGTTGCTGATTTGTTTGGCTGCTGTTTTGTCTGTCGCTATTTCTAGAGCAATTCTCTCAATTGCTTTTCCTGCTGTCGCTGTTTTGTCTGTCGCTATTTTTTCCTGTCGCTGTTTTGTCTGTCGCTATTTTGTCTATCGCTATTTTGTCTTGTGGCTGTTATGGCCTCGCTATTTTGTCCGTCGCTTTTCTGGCCATCGCTATTTCGTCCCAGAGCCCTCAGAAATCATTGATGATAGACAATATGGCTTCTTTTACCAAATATCAACTGGAGATTTACTCACCTACGTCACCCATATATATGGCAAGTTACATTAAAAAAACATAGAAAACCTCTAGCTGCGGCATTAGATATATAGAAAGCATTCGACCATGTTTGACACGAAGGACTTCTTCACAAATTACCATCATGCGGCTTATTATCGTAGCTATATGACAGTATGTATCGCGTTTTTTTTTTAGGCACATCGCTCCATGTGGTAGTGAACGGAGTATCGTCTGATGATATGAGCTGTAGGACCATACATACCAACGAAGTACATATTGCAACATAATATACTAGTTTTTGACGGATTGCAGGGTATGAACACATGATGTGCGAACGATAACTAGCGAGCGGAGCGCTTGAACCGCATCGTTACAGTTCCTGTATTGTCTCCAATTCATCAAAACTGAACTTACTGATATTTCATGAAAACTTTGTACTTATGATTTCGAAAATACTCTTGTTCACTTCCTCAATTCAAGTTCATTGAAAATGTACCTACTTATATCGGGATTTCACCTTGGCAATAATGAAAAGTTACTCGACTTTCACAAATATCGTTTCTACAGCTCCAAAATACCAAACAGCACAGATATATGGAAGAAGAAGCGTAATATTTTAAGGAAACAGTTTTTGTTAATAATGATCAATGTACGCAAAAAATCAGTATCGATACGACCAAAAAATGATTTGACCGTCGTGAATGATCTGGCAGGCTCATCAACAAGGCTTTAGTGAAAACAGACCCAGATTCAAATACCTACATATGAGCATAATATGCATGTTATATCTCTACTTCGGGATTTCACTTTTCAGAAAACATGTTTTTACTCAACAAGATACTTTATTCATAAGACAATTATCACTTGGAATGTCTGATGGACTACGGCCATACTACTAGTCCCCTCATAATATTGGATTATAAAATTCTAATTATAATTATGATCGATATTTTAATTATCATGATTATCATCATGATTCAAATCATAATAATAACGTCTTCATTATTTTCAATTGATAGAAATTTACAATATGCATTCATAATCATTTTAACAGAATGAAAGGCGAAGTTTGAATTTCATTAAGGAGAACTAAACTAAGGTTGTTCTTTCTATTGAGCTGTCTTCTTCATATATGAATATATATATCAAGTGAGTCTTATATCTTCTCAATAGTTCAATAGTCATCAGTTAACCCGAAGAGTTTTCACCATTTCACTAAGATGGCCGAAGGCACGACGTCGGCAATAATTCAATCCGCAGATAAAAGTGATTCTACATGTAAACATTGCATGAAAAAAGTTGTTAACAAAGTGAAATGCGCCAAATGCAGTGAAGTGTTTCATCCAGCTTGTTTGAAGCAATCGAGAGACCTGAAAAAAACTGAATGTAAGCATGAAATAGAAAGGAGTGAATCAATTGACAACATAATCATGACAGAAGAAAGCTTTCTTAGAGAAGAAAATAAGCTGCTAAGGCAAATAATTAGGGACAAGGACATTATTATAGGAGACAAAGAAGCGCTAATATTATTGCTTAATGAGAAAATTGCACGTATCGAAATTGAAGCAAAACAATCTGCCACCGCAAATATATCACAACAAATCAGTTCCCTTACAGCAAAAACTGATATCGACGAACAAAAAACGGCTATGAAAAATGATCAAGCAGAAGCAGAAGAAACTGATAATACAAAACATAGGTCTAGACCTGGAATGAAACCAAAAAAAGATACAAATTCATCAGCACCAGCAAATTCCGATATACAGGGTGACCACAAGAGGCGAGCAGATACGCCGGACAACTTGCGTATGCAGACCAGGCAAAAGTCAAATGAAATCATAAACCTAACAAATGCAACAGATATAGAGGAAGCTGCCGACTTTAAAGTAGTAAATAGACGTAAGAAGAAATTTATGTCTGGAAGCGGGGAAGGAAATAGCGAACTTCATGGTCGCGAAAAGTCAGACAGGAAGATATGGCTATTCCTATCCAGAGTTCCAGATACGATAAAAGCCGATAACATTGAAACGTATATCAAGGAGCGCATCAAGTCCACCAACATATGCGTCACAAAACTAGCGACACGTAGCACTCATATCGACAATCAATCTTTCATAGTAGGGGTAGAACCTCAATTCAAAGTGCAAGTATACGAGCCTAGTTTTTGGCCAAGAAAAATATTGTACAGCCGCTTCAATTTCAATCTGGGTCGACACCTCCTGAATGAAAAACCCCTACCTGAGGTTGAAATCAACCGTCCGTCATCTTTTTTATAAGAAGCAATCATGAGAACCACCCTAAATTCAGCAACATTAAACAAACAATCATAAAAAATTTGAACATAGGACATGTGAATGTGCAGTGCCTAAGAAACAAATTACCTAATCTTGAAATGTTTGTTGAGGATAACAATCTCCAGGTCCTATGTATATCAGAACATTGGGCCCCTGAAGTAGAACTAAAGACTCTGAGTATACCTAACTATTCATTGATAAGCTATTTCTGTAGGTCACATCATCTGCATGGTGGAGTTGCAATATTTGTACGTTCAGATCAGAAAAATGTTTCTTAACCCAAAAACCTCAAATATGTATCTACTTTTGCATCTGAAATGAATATTGAAACTTGTGCCATTTCTCTTACCTTCAACAGCCACAAAGTAAATATTATTACTATTTATAGACCACCATCGGGTAATTTCGAGACATTTCAAATTAATTTAACTTATGTTTTGCAGCATGTAACAAAAAATAAAATACCTATAATACTGTGCGGAGATCTCAACATAAACTATCTAGATGACTGCATGGAAAAGGTCCTACTAATGGATGTTTTCGAATGTTTCAAGCTCCACATGTGCCTAGAGGAACCAAGCCGTATTGTAACAAATAAAAATAATCGCACATCAAGAACCACAATTGATTATCTGGTCACAAACCTGGAAAATGACAGGTATCTAGCCTTCAGTGATGATCCAGCCATTGCTGATCATCTAGCACAAATAGTAAGCTGTAGGGATCTAGAAATGACCGAGCAAGGTATGGATTCATTTTATTATGTTAGACATCTATCAACTGAG